TTGCTCTTACGATCACTAGTGTGGATCCTTGTACTTTCCAGGAGGCTGTTTCTTGTGAGAATAATGATAGATGGAAGGCTGCCATGGAAGAAGAGATGAATTTTGTACACAAGAATCAGACATGGGAGTTGGATGTTCTTTCCGAAGGGAAGAGAGCTATTGGTTGTAGGTGGATTTACACAAGGAAGTCATCGGTAACAGAAAAAGAAGGGGAAAGGTTCAAGGCTCGATTGGTGGCTAAAGGATACTCACAGCAAAAGGGGATTGACTATGATGAGACATTTTCCCCTGTGGTTAGACATACTTCGATCAGGGCTGTACTTGCATTGGTGGCTAGTTGGGATTTGCATTTGGAGCAGATGGATGTGAAGACTGCTTTCTTGCATGGTGATCTCGCAGAGCCTATTTACATGCAGCAGCCAGAGGGCTTCGTTCAACCAGGGAAGAAGCATTTATATTGCAGGTTGAAGAAATCCTTGTATGGCTTGAAGCAAGCATCGCGGCAGTGGAATATACGGTTTGATTCGTATATGGTGAAGATTGGCTACAAGCGTTGTGATTTTGATTGCTGTGTTTACACCAAGAGCCTTGGTGATGGTTCTATGATTTTTCTGCTACTTTATGTTGATGACATGCTTATTGCTGCCAAGAATATGCGTGATATTATTGATCTGAAAAGCCTTTTGAGTCAGGAATTTGAGATGAAGGATTTGGGGGCTGCGAAGAAGATTCTTAGGATGGAGATTCACAGGGATAGAGGATCAAAGAAGCTGTGGTTATCTCAGAAGGGTTATGTGGAGAAGGTACTACAGAGGTTTGGGATGAATGAAGCAAAACCGGTGAGCACTCCATTAGCAAACCACTTCAAGCTTTCTGTTGATCAGTGTCCCAAGTCGGACAAGGAGACTCAGGATATGGTGGAGATACCTTATGTCAGTGCTGTTGGATGTCTGATGTATGCCATGGTATGTACTCGTCCTGATTTAGCTCATGCTGTTGGTCAAGTTTGCAAGTATATGTCTAGGCCGGGTAAATAGCATTGGGAGGCAGTCAAATGGATTTTCAGATATTTGAAAGGTACTGCGGGACATGGTATTGTGTTTGGAGATCAGCGGTTGGATCCTTTGGTTGTAGGATATGTGGATTCTGATTATGCTGGGGACTTGGATAATAGGAGATCTACCACTGGGTATGTCTTTACTTTTGGTGGAGGGCCTATTTGTTGGAGGTCGAATACTCAGCCTATAGTTGCTCTATCTACAACTGAAGCTGAGTATATTGCTTTGGCTGAAGCGGCAAAGGAAGCAGTGTGGCTTGCTGGACTGGTTAGAGAGTTGGGTATTCAGCAAGGTGGAGTTCTAGTACATTGTGACAGTCAGAGTGCCATTCATTTGGCTAAGAATCAGATATATCATGCTAGGACGAAGCATATTGATGTGAGGTTCCACAAGATTAGGGAATGGATTACATCTGGTGATATTCAGTTGGAGAAAGTTCATACTGAAGCGAATGCTGCTGATATGTTGACTAAGACTGTTACTTCTGACAAATTCAAGCATTGCTTGGATTTGTTGAATGTTTCTGCATGCTAGAGTTGCATGGTACCCCCGGCCTGCTTGGTGTGTCTCGCAGAGATGCTCGCTATTGTGTTCTCCTAAGGAGGTGATATATTCGCCAAGGTGGAGATTTGTTGGTATGACTCATATATTGACAAAGGAAGAGGGCATTTAAGTAAATTTATACATTGTAGGGTTTTAGTATATGGTGTATTGATGTATTTGATACGATTGAGAATAATAAAAGATCCCTCAGCCGCCGTGGACGTAGGCACATTGCCGAACCACGTAAATCTTGTGTTTTTTACTTTTCTTGTTTTTAATTCGTGTGTCATATTGTCATCTTCACTCAACAAAACAAAACCAACCAACAAACTTCCAATAAAGCAGCACAATGTAAGGACAAAATATGAAGAAGAAGAAGAAGAAGAAGCTTACAGAGCCAGGGGCAAAAGGGGGAATATAGGAGTTCTGAGAAGGGCGCATTCGGCCACGCATGTAGGGATCACATGAGAGATAAAGATTCTTGACCAAAAATGCCCCCGACCCTTTAGGAGCCTCCAGCTTAATCTTCCTCCCCAATCTCAACTCCATATCTGTTTCCTTTGGTGTTCCTTGTATATAGCACTTGAATATAATCTGTTTGTTGCCCACTATTTTTCCTTGTGTTTCAGCCATTTTTCTTCTCTTTTTGATTAATTGAGAAAATCGTGATGGGATGGCTCTTCTCTTTTGATATATACAGACAGACAGACAGACAGCTACTGACTGACTGATCAATAGAAATTCATCAATGTTCCAAACTTGTGGTGGAGTTTGTATGCAATGCATAATAGTTCGATTCGATTATTAGGTAGGTAGCCAGTTGGGTCTTGCTATGTATCTCTACCTACTACCTTACAATTAAATTCGGTAGCGTGCTTCAATTTTGTACTGTTTTGTACAAGTTATTTATATAAATGGTAATTAAATTTATTATTATAACAAAAATAATATATAAAAACAATTTAATTATTACTAAAACTGATTAAAAATAAAATATAAGAATGTAAGCATGTTAAAATTATGCGTAGAACCTCGAATTAAATAAAAAAAACTTGATAAAAAAAATACAAAATACTAAAAGATAATAAAGTCTCGATATCTCGTATTACATACTACCTCTTATTTTTAATATACGTCGTTTTGAGAATTTGCACATTAATTAAGAATATTATTTTTGTCAATAATAACCTTATTAAATGAAGATAGAGATGAATATTTTGAGAAAAAGTGAATAGAGAGTATGAAAAGGAAATGTATTTATTAGCTAAATGAAGATAATAATAGAAAAATATGTACAAAAGATCCAAAACGATATTTATTTGTCAAATAATTGATAAAGCTAGAATGACATTTAAAAAAAAAAAAAATAGGAGGGAGTAGTATTTAAAAGGTCATCCGTATCTTGTATTATTTGTAATACTGACCATAGGATGAAGTATGAATTTTGTGAAAAAATGTGAAAGTAACGAGTTTTCGACTAAAAAAAACATAAGATAAAAGTATGAACTTTGTGAAATACCATATATATCTCCAATACTAAGGCGAATACCATATATAGTCCGATTAAACAAGAGCAAAAGCTAAAAAACCAAACAGGACCATAATCCAACAAGAAAACGGCATTGAAAACAAAGAAGCAAGACAACCAAAAACCGAAACCGAATCTCCTACTGAGCCCGAACCCGTTTCCACAGCTTGACCCACTCCACCATAACCTCCGCTGCACGGGCAAACGTAGGATTCACCCTTCCCAACCTCTCCTTAACGAGCCCGGCAAGCTCCGCCACACAGTCCTCGGCTGTCACAGCCTTTTCCGAGAGCTTCACTGCCTGAAAAAAGGGGACCATCTCCTCCATGAGCTTCACCCCTTCCCATTCCTTCTTCAAGCTCTCGACCGCATTCCCTCTCTCCTCCCTCCACACGTACGGAAGCCCGGTTTTCACTCCAAGACCCAAATGGTCACAAACAACCTTCACGCACATTCCACTCCACAAATCCTCCACCGTCTCCCACCTGATCCTCCCTTCTTTTCCCAGCCTGAAAGCTGGCGCCATAGCGGGCCCCACGAGCTCGTTGTTGAAGCCCATGTTTATCCCACTAGCGGGCATCATGGCTCGGGCCGGGACCGTGAGGACAGCGTCCACATACCGACCGTTCTTCAAATCGGGCTTCAGGGCCTGCGTAGGCGCATCGTAATCAGCCAGATTGAGCCACAGCCCGCACGAAAGCCCACACTCGACCCCGGCCCGCATGCTGAACGGGTATCCACGGACGAAATCGGCCCCCTCGCGGTACGGGTCGTAGAGGGTGTTGAAGAAGAAGGGAGTTGCCGGGGTCTTGAGGTTGGTGATGTGTTGCGAAACTGCGTCGATCAGATTTCCATTCGCGTCTTTTGCGGGAAAACAGTCGTCGTCGATCGAGATCACGTATTTTTTCCGGGTCACAAGGTAGCCGAAGTAGCGGCACGAGTAGCCGGAGAAGGAGATGGAGCTGCCCGGTGAAGGGCCCGTGAGTTTGTCTATGTCGGATTTTGTGTAGATGTCTAGATTGAATCCGCTCGGGATCTTGAGCTCACCTTTTAGGTCTGGATCCTGAACAATTATTATGTGGAAACGGGAGAAGAATGACCGCCATTGCTCCATGAATGACGTGAGGTCCGACTGGAGAGCACCAATGACGATGTCAACCTCGTCATCGTTAATGATTACTTGAGACATTGTTTTTGGGATTATGATGCAGAGAATGTGTTAATACGTTGGAGCAAGTTTTTGTTCTGGAGAAAGCTGCTACCGTTCGTTCAGCCTTTTGATTTATAGCATCAACGTTTTTCCGAGCATCCTGACAAGAATAGAGAAGTTATATGCAACTCTCAAAGTTTATATCTTGCACATGATAAGAGTTCAGCGGAAAAACAACTTACGGGTGGGAAGGACGGGAACCAGGTTACGTCGAATATTGAGCGATTCAATTACAGAAAGAATTTCTTCTTTGCCAGTGGCTAGAAATAACTTCAGAATCTTCTCGTTCAGTTTTCCAGCTTTTAACGTTCTCTACCGATAGAAATTAAGGTTTTCAAAAGGTTTTTTAAATAAGATCATAGGAAACGAATCAATCAAATAAGTATATATTGCAGGATGACTACATACAAAACAAAAACGAGGCATACTAACTTGAATTCTGGAACTAGCAACTAAAATATAATACTAGTTAGCAGAAAATGTCAAATAACAGTTAACAAGACAGAATATAGCAAACACTAGGAATAAATAGTTCTTCCCAAGGTCCAGTTGCTTTCCAGAAACCAAGAAGCCAGAGAAGCAGTGACACACCATGTGGTTCCTTCAGGACAGGTATATATACAGACAACACTTCATAATATCAGTAACTGCAAAGTTTGCACCATTACTTGTTATTTTTCATGATTGAAATCAGAAGCATATAGCCTTTCGACAATGCAACATTTCATCATCCGAGACTAGGGACATAAATCTCCCTACCTAAGAATTTCTCATTGATCCAGTTTCAAGATTTATACTACACAGTTCCCCCACTGGAATTTAAAATCCTATACTTCCCTTGAGATGTGTTAAAATTGTCATCATACAGCATTAATCCAAACCTTAGAAGCATTTCATTGAGATCCAAAAACTAATCAACTACTTAGTCTGACCTGTCCACCTTCACGATTCTTTTAACAGCATTAACAATTTCAAGTTAAAAGAGACGCAAGGAAGATCGTATAAAAAGGTAAATACAAACACATTCTTAATGCAAATATTTGAACTTCCCGGGCAGCATTAAATGGAAACAAATTGTGCAATCAACACAAAAGAACACAAATGATTCCCAGAATTTCAGCAGCACAACAAACCCAGAAACTGTCCTCACAGCTCCCACCCAAATTTCTTATAGGAACAGACAAGTCACTGACTAAGACTCTTGATTGAGAAAAGCAAAGTAAGAACTGGATAGCAGTATATAATGGTTAAGACCCAAATCACCCAAAAATGATTTTGCAGCTAGCCTAAAGGCTAAATTTAATCTCGAAAAACAACAAGGATTGCCAAGTCCAGCAAAGAATTTATAATAATTGCAGAAAACGCATCTGATAATCTATGATCAATATCTCTTTACCCAGAAACTATAATCAATGTAACAATTACCAAAACCCCCAAATCGCACCAGCTAAAAAACCTCAATCCAAAATCAGCACACATCATTTCCAAAACAATCGAACGTCCGAAACCCTAGATCTAAAAACAAAACCAAATCTCTGCGCGCGCGCACGCAACACGGATCATATGAAACTAGAGAGAGAGAGAGAGAGAGAGAGAGAGAGAGAGAGAGAGAGAGAGAGAGACTGTGGGCACAGGCATACCAGGAAGAGCTCGAGAAGAATGTGATCGGGGACGAAGGACAGATCTGAGATGCGAGAGAAGTTAATGAGGGCAGAGTCAATCGCGAGTGAGAGGAGCGAGGGCGGATTTCTCATTCATTCATAAATCGAACGTGCTTCCTCCGATTATCGCGCACTCTTCACAGGTTCTTTCTATTTTTTATTTATTTTTTACTCTCTCTCTCTCAAGAACCCCTTTATTTGTAATTGTTTATTTTTATCATCAATTGAGGATGAAATCAAATTATCCGTTAATGGCGGGCGGCGTGGTCACTGGTCACCGTCGCAGCTGCCATTTTCGCAAGCTTCTGAAAGGTCAACTACGTCACTGCAGGCGCAAGATTATGAAGTCGGTGGCAAATTTTGTCCAATTAAGCATAGATTAGAATAAATATTTTTACCACAAAATTAAATATGTATATGTTGTTGCTACCTTTGATAAACAAATAAATTAACTTATAATTTATTTATTTTTTTTTTTAAAAAAAAAAAACACCAGCCCAGGTGGAAGATTAATGTTGG